TAAAAGGTAGGATAAAGAGGTAAAAATAGGGTGTAGTGTGTCAAGAGAATGTCTACTATCCACCACATCACCACAACGCTTCATCAGAGAAATTTCACGAGCAAGGCATTTTCATTTGCCATTTCCACTGTGCAAGTGTCGAAACTCTTCCCCTTTTCTCTTTTTTTTTTTGTTGAACAAGCGGCTCGCAAGGCGTGGGCACGTCTTGTGGGCCGGAGTCTTCTACTCACGAGTTTTTTTTTTATTTCAGATGCACAGAGCACATACAACTTCTATTCCGACAGCACTTGCCACCTTAGATTCATTTGCCTTGCACAAATAACGGAATTCAGACATCTCTTGACGACACAAGGTTAAACAAGAAAGTCTAAAAAGGTCATGAGTTATCAAACACGACTAATCGAACAATAGCGAAGGATAAAAGCTCAAATAGGTTCACTATGGGGAGACAAGATGAAGGCATGGTTTGTAGAAAGTTAAAGAATGTTAGATCCTAAATGCCCTTATCATTTCAAATGCATCTAGTTCAACAAAATGTGGTCTCGACATGTATAAAATAGCAAGTTCTAGAATGCATATACCATGTGTGATACCCACTCAATCAAACAAAAGCAGAGCAAACAAGAATAATGTGCTCATGTAAGGTTCAGATGTTCCCAAAAGTTCCAAGACTGGGTAAAGTCCAGCAAATTCAACATTCAACAAAACTGTCAAGGCAAAGCGAAATGCATAGCTAGTATATCTAACCACATACCCATGCACCTTGATTGTGTTATTCATCATAGCAAAGAAGTCAACTAACTACACTCTTTTTCTTTTCCTTTTTTTTCATTCTCTCTCTTTCTCTTTTTTTTTGAATAAGAGGAATTAATAGAACCAAAAAGAAATAATAGCAACCATTCCCCCCCACACCTAAAATCTACATTGTTCGCAATGTAACATAACCAAATAAAGTGCAAGGTCAAGGGGAGCGAGACTTCCCTGACTCCTGAGAAAGTGCGGTTAGATCCTAAGGAGGCCGAGGATGTGGCGGCTAGAATCCAATGTGAGCATAGAAAGCTGCTTGATTTTCTGCCTGAATACGGACGAAGACCTATAGCGCTGCAAGGCGACCATCTAATCTCGCCACCTAGGTGCCCAGCTCATCGAAGGAATCCTGGAGGTTTTGGTAACGGGATTTCCAAACAGGAGGAGCATGATAGGAGAACGGATCCGCCTGATCCGAGTGCGGTGGAGGCTCAGTGGATGGGGCAGTCGGAGGAACTCGGGGCCGTGGCCCGCCATCGCCAGGGGACGTGAACTGATAGACATCCCCTACTTTGAAAATAACCCCCATCCACTCCAAACTGCGCAAATCCAGTGGCTCAATTTTCCGAGCTAGAGCGAAGTTGTGCTCTTTATCGAGATCAAGCACTCCCACTCAAATGGCCAAGTGAGTAATGAGTGAGCCCAGAATCACCGGTTTATTACGCTTTTGAATGACCGATTGCATCTGGGTGGCCACCCAACATCCAAAGTTAACCTGAACTTTGTTGCGCATGCACCAAAGAAAATAAAATTTCGTCTTGGTAAGAGTGCCAGAGGAATCCTTCCGCCCCGAGAAATTGTGAGCCAAGAACCTGTGGATAACCTTCAAGATCGGATCCTTAAAATGAGAGGCTTTGGACTGACTCGGATTGTAAATCTGACGATCCGTGGACCACTCCCTCCAAATGTCAATGTAGTCAGTAGAGAACGGTCTGATGTAGTCACACGCACTGTTTATATATGCTCCAGATGCAATGGTATCCTCACTAACAAACCCCAAAGTCAAATTAAACTCATTAATGGAGAAACTAAACTGGGTACCTCTTAACCTAAATTGAATAATTTCCAGCTCATCCAAAGTGATGAATTCACTTCTGATGAACTCGAAGGTGGAGTAGAATTCACAACACAACTCCTCAAACGTAGGATAGTCAATGATTAGATACTTTTGCCAACCTATTACCGAGAACAACTGTTCAACTTCTCGTGCAATTTGTAAATGGTCCAGGGTTGGGGCATGAAAACACTTACAGGGAGCAAAAGGCCGGTGCACCAATCTATTGAACCGGTCCTGTTATGCCCTTGTAAGGTTAGTAACCGGTTCCCTCCATTCCCCAAGAGACATAGTGCTCTTATTCAAACCCAAACGGGACCGAATGGGGGGTTGAACCGGGGCTCTCCTCTTACGAGGTTGGGACCCAGATGGCCCAGCAGTTGTTGCCTTTTTCGGGGGTATTCAGAACCCACAGAATTGAATATAATTAATCACAAAAACAATTAGGCAACCACCAAAAGTGGTAGGGGACTACAGTCAACAAATGAAACTTCAACAATCAACAGTCCAATGGCAAAAGATACGCAATTACCTCACCAAACGACGACAAGGCAGCAAACACATGCAAAACGGCCCACTAGCGTCACTAGGCAACCAATAAGTAAGATAAGCAGGATCGAGCCCCCAAACAATGAAGTCAGCATTCAAATATGTCCAATAGAGGGGAATTACTAGCCACGTGTACCAAATAATCGATTCACCAGAACCCACAGATATAGCAAATCCCAATTCAAGTCAAAAACAGCAATAAAATTCCAAATGCGAAGATCGACTGACCAAAAATTCAATAAAATAGGGGTACCACTTTTATTTTCTGGTCCACACTGGAGGAAATCGACGCAGTAACCACGGTGAAACAAAGGCTTGCGATGAAGGCATACGGGAGAGGAGAATACGCTGCTGCTGTTGGTAGAAGACAACTCGCGCGCTGTTAGAGAGCTGTTGGCCGAGTGGGGCGTGCGGGCTGGCGGTCGCTACTGACTGCTGCGCGGACTTGCTGGCAGCTCGCGCGTAGGTGGACTGGGCTGGGCGTGCAGTTGGGCTGGCTGTGGTAGGGGCAGTCACACACTGGAGTTGCGCACGCTATCGCGTGCCTGGGACAGGTCGTGCACAGAGGCGCGCGCTGAGGGGTTCTGCTGCGTCGCGTGCTGTCGGGCGCACGGGAGCTGCTGAGGCCGCCCGGAGGTACTTAGGGCGCGCAAAGGTTAGGCTAGATCTGGGCATCGTGCGTGCTGGCGTGCGAAGGAACTGGGCAAGCGGGCAAGTTGCGCGCGCGGCCTCGTACAGTGGATCTGCGGGGCCTCGCGGACAACAGCGCGCAGGGGGTGTAACTGGTGGTGCGGCGCGACGCTGATGAGAGCAGCGGCACGTGACGGCAGCTGTCCCTGGAAGGCGAAGTGGGTGCTGAGAGCAGCGGCGGCGCACGGTAGATCGCCGGCGACAGTCGACGGGAGTGGCGGTGTGATGGCGGCGACGGACGGCAAGCAAGAAAAAGGAAAGAAGAAGGTGAAATGGAAACTAAGACAAGAATAAAGGAAATTTCAATGGGAAAAACTCAGACAAAGGTTCTTGTCAAGACCAAACAAAGAAATATGATCTTGGTCAAAAAAAAAATTCTTTTTTTCTTTGACATTCGTTATCGGAAGGGTTGGAAGGCGTTAGCATACCTTGAAGGACATGGTCTTCTGACCGACGCATCCTAACGATGCCCGAAAAAATTTGTGTCAAAGCGTGGGCACGTCTTGGAACTGCCAGTCTCTAATTTGTTCAGGGCCCCTGGTGCACTCCTTCCAAGGCGTGGGCACGCCTTGGAACCCTTAGTTTTCTGTTTATCACCAAAATCAATTAAAATAGAAAAAATATAACTGAAAAATTGCAAAGTAATGAAAATTGACCACAACTAATTTTATATTCCTTGGGTTGCCTCCCAAACAGCGCGCCTTTCTTCAACGTCTTTTACTAGACATGGCCATCAGTTGTTTAGACCTCCCTACCTGGATCATCAAGAAATATAACATCCACTTGCTCACTATTAAACCCTTTATACTAGGGTTTCAAACGGTGACCATTGACTACGAACTTTTTCTCCGTCTTTAAATTTTGGATTTTCACTGCGCCATAATGAAAAATATTACAGATAACAAATGGACCAATCCAACGCAAACGCAACTTACCCGAAAAAAACTTAAATCTTGAGTGATAAAGGAGAACTTTTTGCCCTACGACAAATGACTTCCTCGAGACTTGTTGGTTATGAAAGATTTTGCTCTTCTCCTTATAAATTGCGGCGTTCTCATAGGTTTCATTCCTTAACTCATCCAACTCTTGTAATTGGAGTTTTCTATGCCCTCCGGCCTCCATAAGGTCCATGTTACACCGCTTAAGCGCCCAAAATGCTGGATGTTCAAATTTCACCGGGAGGTGGCACGGCTTCTCAAAAACTAACCTGTATGGGGACATCCCAATCGGTGTTTTGTATGCGGTGCGATAAGTTCAGAGAGTATCTTCCAACTTCAAACCCCAGTCCTTCCGGTCAGGCCGCACCATCTTCTCCAGGATTGACTTAACCTCTCTATTCGACACTTCGGCCTGACCATTCGTCTGTGAATGATAGGGAGTGGACACTTTATGGAGCACGCCATACTTATGAAACAAAGCAGCAATCATCTTATTACAAAAATGGGTGCTCCTGTCACTGACTATAGCTCTCGGCATTCCGAAACGGACAAAAATGTTAGATTTAAGGAATTCTGCAACCACTCTCGAATCATTAGTTCGGGTGGCCTTTGCCTCCACCCAATTGGACACATAATCGACAGCGAGTATAATATATAAGAACCAAATGATGAAGGAAAGGGACCCATAAAATCCATACCCCAGACGTAGAAAATTTCAACAAACAATATTGGGGTTTGACTCATTTGGTCTCTATGAGAGATATTCCCCACCCTTTGACATTTATCACAAGATTTACAAAATACATAAACATCTTTAAACAGGGTAGGCCAATAAAAACCACTTTCTAACACCTTGTGAGCCGTTCGCTTTGGACCAAAGTGCCCCCACATGCAAATGAATGACAAAAAATCAAAATAGAATGAAACTCACTGGCACTTACACACCTTCGTAGCACTTGATCCTAGCACTGCCTCCACAGGTAAGGGTCATCCCAAATATAATGTTTGGCATCACTCTTCAGGTTATCTCTCTTAGTCTTTGGCCAAACTGCAGGCAATTGATTTGTTACCAAAAAATTTACAATATCTGCATACCATGGTACAGACGAATCAATGGCTAGCAATTGCTTCTCGGGAAATGACTCTCTCAACGGCAGATCTTCCTTATTCGTGAGCAATCGGCTCAAATGATTGGCCACTAAGTTCTCGACTCCACACTTATCCTTGATCTCTAAATCGAATTCCTGCAGGAGCAGGATCCACCTAATGAGTCTCGATTTTGCATTCTTCTTCGCCAACAAGTACCTCAAGGCTGCATGATCAGAGAAAATAATTACTTTCACACTTAATAAATATGACCTAAATTTTTCTAGTACAAAAATAACGGCTAATAATTCTTTCTCAGTCGTGGAGTAGTTGAGTTGGGCTCCGTTCAATGCTCTCGATGCATAGTAGATTGCGTGTGGCGCTTTTCTAATTCTTTGCCCCAACACGATCCCTGCGGCATAATCACTTGCGTCGCACATAATTTCAAATGGTAGGCTCCAATTTGGTGGTTGAACGATGGGCGGCGATGTCAATAACTCCTTCAGCTTATCAAAGGCTACCTTGCATTCACCAATAAAATCAAATAGCATGTCCTTCTGTAGCAACTTAAACAGGGGTGCTCCTATCGTTGAAAAGTCTTTGATAAACCTCCTATAAAATCCTGCATGGCCCAAAAAATAACGTACTTTCCGTACACATACGGGGTAAGACAGAGCAGAAATAAGGTCTATTTTAGCTTTATCTACCTCTATTCCCTTAACCGACACAACGTGCCCTAAGACAATACCATGTTCGACCATGAAGTGACATTTTTTTCAATTAAGAACCAAATTCGTCTCTATGCATCTTTTTAAAATTAGAGCTAGATTATCAAGGCATTTATCAAAACTATTCCCGTATACACTAAAATCATCTATGAACATCTCAATAATCTTTTCTATATATTCGGAGAAAATACTTACCATACACCTTTGAAAAGTTGCAGGAGCGTTGCAGAGACCGAAAGCATCCGACGGTAAGCGAATGTATCAAATGGGCATGTGAATGTAGTCTTTTCCTGGTTCTCTAGTGCTATCGCGATCTGAAAGTAACCTGAAAATCCATCCAAGAAACAATAGTAAACACGACTGGCTAATCGTTTTACCATCTGATCAATAAAAGGGAGAGGAAAATGGTCCTTTTAGTCACAGAATTTAGTCTCCGATAGTCGATGCATTGACGCCAACTAGTAGCTTTCCTAACCGGGACCATAACACCCTCCTGATTTTCCTCTACGGTCACTCCCGCCTTCTTCGGGACCACTTGGACAGGACTCACCCACGGGCTGTCCGATATAGCAAATATAATCCCTACCTCGAGGAGTTTAAGTATCTCCTTTTTCACAACTTCCATCATCAGGGGATTCAACCTCCGTTGCCCCTGTCTTACCGGTTTCGCACCATCTTCGAGTCGAATCCGGTGCATGCATAGGGATGGACTTATTCCCTTAATATCTGCTATACTCCACCCAATTGCCTCCTTATACTCCCTAAGGATTCGCACCAGTTTGTCCTCCTGACTTGGATACAAATGTACAGAGATGATTACCGGAAGCGTCTCCCGGTCTCCTAGGAATGCGTACTTTAGATGTTTTGGGAGAGGCTTAAACTCCAACTCCGGTGCCTGCACAACTGAAGGAAGTAACTTTTTCTGAATTTCTGGCACAAAAAGGGAAGTAAGCTCATACTTCGGAGAAACAGTTGAAATTGAGTGCAGGGTTCCAACTGCATGGTGTAACTCAACCCTCATGTCCGCATTAGGGGTTGCACCCAACTCGAGATGCTTGGCCAACGCCACCTCTAGTGCGTCTTCGCCATCCAGTTCGAAAGTTTCCTGCACAAGAGGCTCAATAACACTCAAAGTAAAAACTGAGTTAGATTCCTCTGGATAATTCATCACCTCAAAAATATTAAAATTCACAGTTTCACCATCGAACTCCATTGATAAAGTACCATCATTCACATCTATTTTAGTCCTGACAGTGCTAAGAAACGATTTACCTAACAAGATAGGTGACGGATTTAACGACCTCTTATCTCCCATATCCAGGATATAGAAATCTGCAGGGAAGACTAATTCACTTACCTGAACCAAGACATCCTCAACTAGCCCCTCTGGGTAGGAATTGGTGCGGTCGGTTAGTTGGATTATGATAGCTGTTTCTTTTAAGAGCCCAAGATTTAGGGACGTATAAATGATTTTTAGCATCAGATTGATTGACGCCCCTAAATCCAACATGGTCTTCCTGATCGACGTATTTTCAATCTTACAAGGGATAGTGAACATACCTGGATCCCCACATTTGGGTGGGAGTTTTCTTTGGAGTATGGCTAATACGTTTTCTCCCACTACTACTCTTTCATCCCCTCTCAACTTCCTCTTATGGGTGTACAGGTCCTTGAGGAATTTCGCTTACTTGGGCACCTACTTAATCGCCTCCAACAAAGGGATGTTGATCTCCACCTTTCTGAATACGTTCAGGATCTCTTTCTCCTGCTCCGCCTTCTTCGTCTTCTCCAACCTGCATGAATAAGGTGGTAAATTAGATTTAATGGGTACAGATGGAGTAAGAATTACCTCAGGGTTGCTAGGGATGCGTCCTTCTTCTTCCATCTCCTTCTCGATGTCATCTTCACTCTTACTTTTCAGGTTTGTGGCTTTAGGCCCTTCCATCTCTTTGCCACTCCTTAATGTCATGCCACTTACATTCCTGGGATTTGTCTCAGGTTGCGATGGCAATTTCCCATAAGCGTGAGACTCCAGACGATTAATGGCAGTTGCCATTTGACTCATTCGAGTTTTCATGTCTTTCATGTCTGCTTTGGTGTTCTGTTGGAATTGAGTAGTGTTTGCGACCAGGGCCCTAGTCTCCTGCTGGAGTTGAGTGGTAGTCATGGCCAAACTCTTGACAATTTTCTCCAAAGAACTTCCTGAACTGGAGGACGAAGGTTGAGACTTTTGTTGCCACGGTTGTTGGAATCCTAGTGGACGATTGGGGAATGGATTCTGTGGCTTATTACCATAACCGAAATTGGGGTGGTCTCGCCAACCCGGATTGTATGTATTAGACTATGGATCGTACTGTCTACGAGGCGCGGGCACGCCTCCGGCCATGTTCACTTGTTCAGCCCCATTCTCTTGCAACATAGGGCATGAGTCGGTGGGGTGGCCCACATTTGTGCAAATTTCACAGGCCTTAGCTTGGTGCATGTTTTCCACGGCTAATTGTAGAACAAAAGATGTTAACTCTGATATCTGCTGCTGAATGAACGACGTCTCTACCTCGTTAACCCTACGGGTAGGGTTACTCTCACGGAAACCAAACTGTTGAGAATTTTCCGCCATTGATTCAATGAGTATCCATGCTTCTCGTGGTGTCTTGTTCACCAGGGCTCCCCCACTCGCAGCATCGATGATGCTTCTATCAGACGACTGGAGTCCCTTATAAAAATATTGGATCAACAGTTGTTCACTAATTTGATGCTGTGGGCATCTAGTGCACAACTTATTGAACCTCTCCCAATAGTCGTATAAGGATTCTCCAGGATATTACTTAATGCTGAATATCTCCTTTCTCAGGCTTGCAACCTGGAATGCTGGGAAAATTTTTTTTAAAAATTTCTTCTTAAATTGGGCCCACGTTGTAATGCTACCAGCAGGCAGGTAGTACAACCAATCCTTCGCTGCATCTTTGAGGGAGAAAGGGAAGGCTCTGAGTTTAATTTGCTCCTCAGTAATTCCTGGAGGCTTCATACTGGAGCATACCACATCGAACTCTTGAATGTGTTTATGGGGTTCTTCACCCGAGAGGCCATGGAACGTGGGCAGGAGATGAATTAGTCCCGACTTCAGTTCAAAGGAGGTATTTTCAGCCAAAGTTGGGAATGTGATGCACAAAGGTTGTTGGGATAATTCTGGAGCAGCCAACTCCCTTAGTGTTCTTGCATTCGCCATAGGGATGCCCTCTTGGCTTGGGTCACTTAAAGTTTCACGACTTGAATCTGCTGATTCAACCTCAGGATCCAGTTCCTGAGATGCAATGCCGGATTGCTCCTCCCTGAGTTATCTGGTCTCTTTCCTAGTTTGGCGCGCAGTCTTCTCTATTTTTGGATCGAAAATCAATTCGCCTGTACGAGAAAAGTGAGGCATAAACTAGAAAAATGCCAGACAAATTCAAAGAGAATAACTTAGAAAGAAATAAATTTAACCAAAACACCGCTCCCCGGCAACGGCACCAAAAATTGACAGGTGCCGAACCTGTGCAATAATAATTACTAAAAAGTTCTAATTACCACCACAATTAATTATACAACAAATCCAAATATTGGAGCAGGGACTTTAGGTGTGCAATGAGTTACTTGATTCACCCTGTTCCCGAAGAGTTTGCTTAATCCGATATACCAGATTTGTCTATAAAAATATTAAATTTACGTACAATGGCAAGTAGGGTCGATTCCATAGGGAACGGATAGGAAGTGGTTTCTTTCCAAATCAATAGAATAAAAGAGAAGGATAATTAATGGGGTGAAAGTAAAATAAAATAAATAAAATTCAAGAACTAACTCAACAAGTGCAATTTAGTGAAAATAACAATTAATAAAATTCTACCCAAAGGATCAACTGTTCAGGCACGGTCCAATTAAATGCTCATCGATGCAAAGATATTTCATCCATTCGTCACTAGGTTGGTTACAGCTATCAACAAGCTCTGACAACCAGTTCTTCCTTACTTTTTCGACAGTCAAGGTACGACCATTGACTGTTTCTCTAACCAAAAAATAACTCTAGGTACGACCGTAGGAATTTAATTATCCAGTCGCATTAAAGCTAGAAGAACCCAACCCTAATCAATAAACACGCTAAGAGAGTTTATTTAAACTAAATCTTGTGTTTCCCCAACATAAAATCAACTATGGTGGTCGTCACTAGTTGTAAACTAAACGAACAATTACGGATTTAATTTAGTTAACATGACAGTAGGCTATTGAATTAAATTAAATATCCGACCGTTGATACTCAATTAATAAAATACCCATGAACAATTAATCCAAGAAACGCACGAATAGCAACAAGTTGGAAGAAGTAATGAAGATTCGATTAGATCTCACAGATATTATGGACCACGCCTTCGCGTCGACCTTTGGGTAGAAGAGAAATCTAGCTGCTCCTCATCATATCAATCTCGCGTGATTTGATTGATTCCATCCACACAATTGCCAAAGATTAGTGAAGATGAATTAACGACGGAACCGAGGAGAAAAGCCTCCTTTCACTTTGTTTCGTGTTTATATCCAAGCAAAAGGTAGAAGCCCAGGTCTCACAAAAGGCGTACGAAACACAAGGAACAAAAAAACGAAAACTCCAAGTCGTCTTCCAGGGATAGCCAGCGAAAGCTACTCCCAATTGCCCAGAACCAGAGCTAAAAGTCAAAAGGAAAAAGACGTCTGGCCCTAGGAAAAGAAAACTAAAACTAATATATCAATTACACATGAATCTGGCCTTGCTCCTATTGGCCGCTGAAGAGCCAGAAGGGAAGACGTCTGCCCGTAGGATAAAAGCTAATCTCCTAATTGATCGTGAATCTGGCTTTTTTATTCTTTCTTTGTAGCGCCGCCAGGAGAAGAAAAGACGTCTGGAGCAAGGTTTACCTAAGGGTTCTAATCCCAAACCTCTGGTCCACGTGGACCCGGTTCCTTAATTGGTTCTCCTGCTGTTACCAAGCCCGCGAGTCCGGCTTTTAGGTGAGTCTCCTCAGTTTCTGGCGTGAGCACGCCCTGAAACAAAGGGTCTTCTGGAATTTTGTCTCAAAAAAATTACTTTTAACGCCAACTACCTGCAATTCACACAAATATTAAATATGAGTAAAATCTCAATTCTTAGCCTCATGAGTAGCCAAAATTAGGACAAAATGATAGTGCAAAATGTGCAAAATAACCGCTCTATCAAGTTGATGAGAAATTTCCACGGATGTTACCCCATCATTAATTGTCACCTACAAAATGATCCTTCCTCTCCTCTCTAGCTTTTATATATACATATATATATATATATATATATATATATATATATATATATATATTCGTGGTTGAGATTCGAAAGGTGCACATTTAGCATTCGTACATAGGACAAAGAACATCTTTCCAAGGAAATTTCCCATTCACATCCACAAGATGTTTTAAACGTCATGATCTTGAAGCCATCTACAGAAAGAATTAGCCTTTCAACATCGTTGGAGTTTGGAGTGCCTGGGCTGTCTTTAAGAATGAAGAATTGAATGTAATGCTTCTAACAGCCAATGTAGAATGGCCACACTTTAGCAGCTTGATGCCATGGAGATTGCAAAGAAACAGAGGATTAAGTAAAAGATTAAAGTTGGGCTTCAAATTCATGAATCTAAACTTTCACATGTAAATAAATATTCACATTGTCATTATTATTACTAGACCTCTTGAAAAATGCAGAGTTTCATTTTCTTTGATGAATTTCGGTGAAGAGTTTATTTGAAAGAGTTATTTAAAATAATATCGTGGCACTTTTTGTGATGTGATGCATGTAAAATAGAAAGACGATTGATAATATAACTAAAAAAAAAAGGTAATTGAGAAACGTGCTTATAATTAAAAAGAGTTAGCAAATAAATTCATATCCAAACAAACCAATTTTGTACCTTGGATTGCGTAAAGTAGATGAATAGGACTACATGATGGAACTAACTAATATAAGCCTCTCTAACTCGAACGGGTTCAGACTTTAGACACGATCCCAAAGTAAGGATAAGTCAAAAGTCTTGATGCTACCGGTTATGCATCCAAAAATCATATGCCCAGCGGCCACGGCAATGGCAACTGGCAAGAAACAAACAAAAGATTGAAACCCATTTTTTGTCATTATATCTCCAAAGATTCCAAACCGCGTATGCCAACCTGTGGACAGGTGGCTTCAATTCAATATTTACCTAATGCGTGTGTTATATAAATCAGTTAGACTCAAACTCAAACATTCGATTCTGAGAGATTTTGATTCTATCTATCCAGTCATGTTTTTATGCTAAAATCTTTCATAAAAGCCTCTGTAGAAGCTGCATTTTGCATTCAACTTTGTCAGTCATTTCTTGTAGAACACATCCCGACAGTCTATATTCCAGAATCTGCAAAAAAAAAAAAAAAATGATGATTCTCGCCTTTGCACGAAAACTGAAAGCTCCATTCTCTCGAGAATTTCTATAATCACGTTATTATTTTTCTTATAATCACGTTATTTTTTTTTTTTTTGTGTTGCAAAATTGATTACAACAAAAGAATCTTGAAAATTCCTATAATCACGTTATTATTTTTCCTGTTATCACGTTATTATTTTTCTCGGTGTGTTGCAGAATTGATTACAATAGAAGAATCGACGTATGCTTCTTATAAAAGAACAAGTCTACCAGCCACAAAAAAATCAGCACGCGTGATGGTAAATTTAATCGTTCCCTTCCCATACAACAAAACTGTACACGTTAAACAAGAGTATGAAAACTCATTGTACCAATGGTCTTTAATAATTGAGAAATACAGAAATTTATGAAGTAAAGCAAGACCTTTGCAATTCTTTGATGAAATCTTAATATTACTAAGTCTAATGCAAATGTGAAACTGTTGCAGACAACCAAGCGTGCAACGGGGACTTTAGTTACATGGGTTGAGAACTGCGGTGTTTGTACACAAATAGTCAAGGCAGTAAACTTTATAACATTAGGTTCAAAAAAAAAAAAAAAAAAAAGATTTACAATAATCACAGGCAGACAACCTCCCGCAATGTCATTCATAGTTGTCCAGAAAACCAGAGGAGCTGTTGAATTTAGTCTCCATGAACCATAACTGACTGAAAAGGTACCCTCTTCATTTCAACAAATGTCGAAAAATCCTGGTTTATTGGCTGTTTCCATGGCTCACCATCCATCTGCATGAAAGCTTCTTTCCATTCTCCCCCTCTGAGCTCAAAACGAATAGCTGAAGCCTGGAAAAGCCATTAGAACTAAGACTCAGTCGATCGTCAAAGCAAAAATTTAACTCCAACCAGCAAACCTAATTAAAGTGCAAAGGTCATGACCATATTTTATTTTATTTGTGCTAACACTCTGCTTGCAGTACCTGTGCAATGTGTTTGGCAGAGATCACTTCAGCCATAACCATTGAAGCATGCCATCCATGCTTCAGACCAAAAATTTCTAGCAAACCATCATCAGCATGCGCTTCAACGAAGCCTTTCTGAAAAGTAACAATTGAGGAGAAGGAAACCATATCAACATACGATAACATGCGTTCTTTGAGAACTATCTACGAAAGCTTCAAATCAAACAGTGTGTGTGGTGAACTTATGATTTAGATGCAAGAAAAAGGCAATGCAGAAGCAGCAATTCGATAGTCGAAAACAGGGAAAATATATGCAAATATCTGCAATCTACAGCAACTGTATATAACCATTTTAAAATGTGTTAAGAGAAAAGGTGAAAGTAGAAATAATTACACAATGGTATATGTTGCACTTTAGGAAATAGGAAGAAACAACAGTTGGAGCTGTTTTGCAAGTTCTACTTGATACTCTTAATCTGGATTTTAATTACAATTATAGTCACTAAATCATAAATAGATCAAAGGACTACAACATGTCAACAATTAAAATAGAAGTCCAGAATGGTCAACCAACCAGGTTACCACCATTTATGGTGATAGATGACATACAAGGGTACCATTAGCCCATTACAGTGCAATCGATATAACGTTTATTTGCATCAAAAAAAAATGCTCAATTATAAGAGAACCATTTAGTCTTTGCCAACCTTCAAATCTTTTCTGCAAGAGAGGTGGTGAGAGGCACATTACCGTTCTATTCTAAGCCTTGGGTTGGAACGACATTTACCTTTTCCAAATAGTCTGGCTTCAAATTTCCCCATGGGTTTCTTCCACTTCCATAACTAGGAAGATTTAGAGCAACTACAGATCTAACACTGCAACAAGAAATCATTACTAAGCTGAGCATATGCAAATAACAGCCACAAACTTCAGTTATCAGTTGAAAATTGTGCTACATGAAGGTTAATAAAGATAAGCCACAATAAGAAATAACCGAATTGGTAAGGATGTCAAGTCAAATTTGGGGGCAACAGGCTCGCATTCCAAACCGACCCTACTACAAATACTGTCCGCTAAAAGAATCTTCTAGATGAAATGGCTTCTTCACACTGCCAGAATCCTTTGATTTGCTTACTTATCACTCGAGATCATATATAAAATTTGCATGAGAAACTTATACACCAGAAATCTGTTGGCCATCTTTGTGGATGTCACTTGCTTTGGATGTTGCAAGTAGCCGGGCTTAGTGGGGCATAAAAATCTTTAGAATATTTATAACCAATGCATGTAGAATTTTTATACCAAATCATCATGTAAGCATAAGTCAAGATGGTTAATCACTCATGTAATTTCATTGAACTCATTACTCATCAATACTACTTAGAATAACTTGCCTTGTATATTCAAAGAGATCACTGTACTTCAACGAATCCTAAAGAAAAAAAATAAAGATAATTCTATATTCTGTATCCATGCATCATTTTGTGTTAATGACTCGGGTACTTTTATTGATAGATTTCTTATCAACACTAACCATTAAATTTGAGTTCTGCAACATCTACAACATAATCTTAGACGTGCTAAATGCAATTATGTATCCGAGCATGAACAACAAATTGAGTTCTCAGAAACAACCATTAAAATCACCAAATATTTATATAGTAAAACAAACCTAGCTGGGATAGGGATTTGCTCCCAGTCTGAACAATTGACCTTCTTTATGTGTATCCTCAGAATGTTCTTAAGTCCCCTACATCGAAAAATGAATGGCAAATATCTAGTTAATTAACCAAGACAAACATACCCTATATGACTAAACAGCCAAGCTATAAATAACCTCAAAATACTTGTACAATAAGCAAAGCAACAACAGTATCAGATATCATTATTACAGCTAGTATACTTCCCAATTCTGGATAAGTCAATATTGATTCTCAGAAGAAAATACAGGAAAAACTAACACAAGGAGTACACAGGCAACTATGGTTTAACCAGTTAAGCTGTAGGTATTACAGAACATTGTGCTATGCTGACATGAAATTGTGTATGAAAGATATGGAAAACCAAACAAGCAGAACTGCAAACACATGAAACTCAAATAATAGCTAAAGACCTACTACTGCAAATATGGCAGATATAGTATCAACATACAAAAGCTACGTCAGTTAACAACCAAAAAGCCCTTGTTCAGGATGCTTCTTTCTCACAGCAGAAAGGAGAAGCTACTTTTAGCATTTGTTAACAATGCATCCAAAGACTAACCGAAGAAAAACTCCCTCCTCATCTCTTCCAAATTTCAAGTAGAATATAAGATGCATTAGCATTTTATGACAATATTGACATACATTTCAAAAGAGAGTAGATAGCAAAAGATGACTTTAATGCACCACTCCATAAAACTTTCAGACTCGAATTAGATGTGAACATAAAAGACAAACAGACAAAACAAAATGGCAAATCAGAGGAAATTACATCCTGACCTCAAACTTGGATCACTGCTGCAGGGTGTGAAGAACCATCCTTGCTTGCAACTATATCCTGAGTAAATTAACTGCAGCCGAAGAGGTAAGCAAAGACTATTAGTATTGAACATGCTAAATTTAATAAATATAATTTCAGCATCAATCATAATGAAGCTTCAATTACTATGTCACCTAATAACTTTTATTTTCATGAACGAAGATCAATAATGCTAAAAGAAGCCTACAAGAGTTTTAGTATCATCTATATTCAAATAGATATCACAAAAAATTTAATACCATTTTGGAATTAATACTTCATAGCTGAATTTATTGACTAAACTTTTTTGTTTTTGGACATCTATATATTCTGAAGAAACTGAAGGACTTCAACTCACAATTAGATGGAAAAATTATTAGGTTTATATATTTACATAAAGCACATGTGAATATGTGTAAGCTATAAAACCACCAGAGACAATAATGTATGAAATGAATAGTGGATAGACCCACAGAAACCAGAAACATTCCAGTGACAAATTCTCAGAATTTGATGTATTATCTCATATAAGCTGAAGCAACTGAAAAGCCCCATTACCATATGGAGCTAAAATTGAAGAAGAATCTTAGTGGGAAAGTTTAACATGCATATAATCCCAAAATGATCAAAAAAATAAATTTACTAGCCATTCATTTCACCAGAAAAGAAATAACTTGACAAACAGTCATGAAACTATAGAGGATGAATTATAACAGAATTTACAACTGATTTCCTTCAAATAGTTAATAGCAACTGTGAGGTATCATTGGATGATGCCAGTTTATTTAAATGAAGATATATAGGCAATTGATCCTATTTAACGGCAGAAAAGGTAGCCAAAACATGACTGATATCAGAAAGACAAACAATGGGGCTCTTGAGCATTCTTAAGAATAGACTCCGATTACCTGTTGACAACAACTTCAGAAAGTAATTGATAGGCTGGAAAAATAACTCAAAAATTTTGTAACTGAAGTCAGAAAAGTTAAGTTTTACATACATTATCCTAATTATGTAATTAAACCTTTTAACTAAACACAGAAGGGTGCCACTAACCTTGTTAGAGAGAGGACCTTGAGCAAGATAAGGCTTTTCATTGCGTAAATGGTGGAAGCCATAGGCAACCTGGGCATCCATCCCTGTAGTCAAACTGAAAAAGTGAATAATTTTACCATGACCATCTGTCTTTCCATAAAAAAGACACAGATGCAAAAAGATATCACAATCATCGTCATCATCATAGCAATGAAAGCAATGGAGAAATTTTAACGTCATTAACTTCACAATAGTTCCTGTTTTTCTTTTTTTCTCTCTCTTTTGTTTCCAATACATATTTCCTCAGCTCTTCAAAAGGTGTCAGACTTAGAATGCCAGGAAAATAGTAGATCTTTTGAAAGCAACATTCGTTTGAAGGAAAAGAAATACAGAAAACAAAAAAGGAAGATGGCTTAAGGTATAGGACTGTTCTATCGCTGTTTATTAGCAAATTAAAGATTTGGGCTTCCTAGGTTGAGGATATATTCAGTAACAACTGTAACATCAGGAAAAAGCAAATTAGCTTCAAGAAAATCAACTTAGTAAAACAACAATAGTCTAATTTTTTTGGCCTATTGAGGCTTGCCTCTAGTTTATCTTAGAGACAGCTACAAGCTTCACCTTGTTGGAGAATATGACAGAAGAAGACGATATACAAGGAAACCACAGTACAAAGTGGATTGTAAGATACAAGAGATCCATCGTACAATATGATAACTTATGAAGTCGTCAGAAAATTAATCAGAAGATCAAACACTTGCTAGAATAAAATCACATGCAAATTTGTAATCTTTCTTCAGATTAAACAAGGATACCTATGCTAAAGTAATTATAGAAGACCCCTTGATAGCAAGACATCATCTCCGGCAGCTCCCCTTCAACCTCCAATCCCTTCACAACACAGACTAAGGTTGAATCACGAAGAAAAAAGAGTGCAGGCAATAATTCAAACAGAGCTAATTTGGAATAACAACTCAAAGAATCAGGAAGGGAGACAATAGAACACTTAGCAAATTCAGTTTTGACTGAAACCAGATAATAACAAAAAAATGAAAATACAGAAAATGATCTTCACCATACAATTATGCATATCCATACTTCTGTACATGAACATCATATCTATAGACACAAATATACTCAGATGTCCACCTATGCACATGTATGTCACTGATAAACAGCTTGGTTCCCAAAAATCCACCCTTACAAATTCCACTTCCCACCCAAGTGGACCCAAAACAGCGAGGGGTAGAGAGAGAGAGAGGATGAAGAACGAAACAGCAAGAAGGAGAGCATAAAAAATGCATTTATATAGTGGACAGTTACATCTGCATTAAAAAACCTTACTAAAGAATGCCGATTTACACTGTCATGTTATCGCCAAAGGAAGTTCACGAGGAAAAGAATCCAAAAGAAAAACCAAAAGCAATCAAACAGTGAACTTTTTCTCCCTGAAAATGTGGCATCATAATTGTGATAACTAGGTACAAGGAAAAACAAATCAGGACCCCAAAAGTCTTGGATGTATTATAAAAACCCAATACTTGGCTTAGAACTCTTCTACTTAAATGAGTAAAAAGGAAGACACTATCAAGCGCCCAAGTTTCTTTTCAAAAAGACAGGAAAGTTTCAAAACTCTAAGGTCCAGACCTGCATTTCATACAAAACTTCCCTCGATGAGACCGGTAAATAATCTTCTCACCTTTGAGCATACTTTCCAATATATACTTGAGCGTCATGAGTTGAGTCATAAAGAAGCGAATGAAAATGACAGGACAATTCTGTTCCTTTTGCCAATGGCAGGGATCTGCATCGTGATAGTCAAAACTGTGCCCATCTACCTTTCTTAGTAAGGTACAAAAGTATACAAGTATATCAATATTGTCTCCAAATTACTTAAGTTCCTGAACCTGTGGAAAAGCTGAAGGCCTTGTGCAAAAGTTTTAGCTTAACCCTCCGGACAATATTATTAACATGACAACAAGTGGATTTCAATTTATGGACTCAGGATTAAAAGAGGCAATCACTATCTACTCGACATGATATTCAGCAGATCTAACACTTGCTATCAACTATATTATAACATCCCGTAAAACATTTCTCATCCTACTCTTTCTAATCTTAACAGTAACATGAAAGGATGAATGAACTCCTATACATCTAAGTTCAACAGCATCATGACAATTTGCAGCCAGAGAAATGGGTTAAACTACATGGGCAAAAAAAGCAAACAATCAACACTAACATATTTCTAGTGCAATTTTTTTAACCACCTCATCAAGAGCTATCTCTTCACACTGCTTCAAAGAATAAGGAGTCTCCAATGCTTCACCAGCAGGCATTGATAGAACAAGATTCCAACTGCATATGAAAGTACATTCAGAAAACGTCTAGGAAGACCATATTTAACGAGGTATTTTGACTGAAAAAGAAAGGATGGTTACAGAAAATGCATAGACCCATAAACAGAAGCTTCTCAATTCCATTATGAGTGCATAAGCATCTATATAAACCATTAAAGCAGAAAAAGGAAACCAAAAAAGATGCCACTAGGTTACTTTTGAATGTTTTCTACTTGTCAAAATGACGATGCAATCAGCAATCAGATCCATTAATAGTTTTACCATCCATTTGTAGTTTTGCTAGTTAAACATATAATAAGTACAAGAGACCTCTATTGACAATATTTCAAACATGGCTGAAGAGATACAACCCTTGCACCCCCTCCCCCACTCCAAACAGAAAATGGAAGAAAACATTTTCAAGTAACCTAAGGCTCTAACATATCTAATTGGGCTGTTAAATTTCAACAAAATAGAGTTCAAACATGTAAAAAGTTGTTGTGAAAGAAGCAGCAGAATCAGAAGACAGAATATACTAGGGGGCAAAGTAATCACAATACTAACCTATCAAGCCGGCATGTTGGACCATTTGGAACGCTATCAAGTGTTCGTTTGATGGCTGATTTCCAGTTAAAAGGAAATGAACCACCCTGAAACAGTTTAAGAGAAAACTCAGGAATGACAGAGAGGAGAAACCCTGGAAAGTAGATGCAGATGAAAGGCTTACCCAACCAAAACTCCTTGATAGATCATTTCCTGTACCAAGTGGAATAATTGCTGTAGCTGGAACTGGATTGCGGCCCTGTTTATGCAGCTCCCCTAGACATCCAAGCACCCATCCTACAGTTCCATCACCACCTGCAACCTGTCAAATTAGCCTACCAACTTAATCTCCTCAAACTGAGATATTCAAAATCTTAAGACAATAGAATACGCGGCATTCTAGCTGACAAATTTGAGCAAAATTTCAATGCTTAAACAATATATTCAAAGTTCATATAAAGAAAAACTTTCAGTTTGAAAAAGCATCCATACCACCACCCTAAGCTTCTGTCGGACCTCATTAGCACAGCTGTCGCCAAGAGTAGAGAACTTCTCCAGGCAACCCAATCCATACTGAACAAATTCATGTGGCTTCACAAGGGATAGGTCATAAACCTGGCAGCATTTCAGAGAAAGGAAGCAAATTTATACCAAAGAGTAATCACAATTGAGGAGAGGACACAGAAACATAAGGGGATAGCAAACAAAACCTATCTGGTTAACGTTCAAGCTGTAAAGTTTTGGGTTCCAGCTCGAGATGAGTTTAATGTTGTTGACAAAAACTTCATGGGAAATGGGAAGGCCACTTTGCAAAGCAAACCATAATTTCAAATTATCTCCCGTGGGAGAGAAAATATTGATGATGCTCAGTGAATGGCATGTTCTAAATTGAGAAATACCAAATTTCAAGAAAAAAAGTTGGTACACCAGACCTTTTGCTTTCCTAGAAGTCGAACTAAATTTTTGATATTTAAATCTCCAAAAATGAGAGAAAGTAGATAGATTTCACTAAAGTTCGTGAATCTATCCAGGAAATCAATCGAAGGTAATAAAAAAAGAAAAAGTCTTAAAGGTTTTTTTTAAAAAAATATAGTCTACTAATTCAAAGTACATGATAAATTACGATGTTTGTTCTTTAAAAAAGAGAGAGAGAGAGAGAGAGAGCTTATATGCTCCTGGAGCAAATTTAACCCTTTTCACTAAAGATTGAAAAATGCATTGCTTATTCCTGATCCTACAACGGGAGGTTAGATACTCTCAGTCCCATGCTCTAACCCGGCTTCCTCCTCCCTCCTAAACAATTTTTTTCTGAAAAACAAAAACAAACAAAAACACCTTTTGCCTGATACTTACCACCAACTAGATATAGCAAAAATTCCATGGCAAAACCTTAAAACTCGACTTCAATAAAATCCCACATCTAAGTACAAACCCACTACCAAACCACATTCCACCCACAAACCTAACTGTCCTAAACCAACCTCCTTCCCAAGAAAAAGGTACAAAAAAAAATGTAAAAGTTAAAAAAAAAAAAACCTGAAATCACTAGTACACTAGGACAAGCATAAATCATTCTGATAACTAATAAATTCAAAAATAAATCTTTTTGAACATTACCACTTCAGCAGGTGCACACGGGTGGCTTCCCAGGTAGTAAGAGAACTAAATGAGAAGACAAAGCAGTCTCCATGTACCAAACCAGCTAGTGGACCCCACACAGTACGTGATTACGTAAATATACACAAAACCAGTCATACATAAACGTATGCAAATGCCAAAAAGGAACAACCAAAAATCGGAAAAAAAAATAAGAAATACAAAAATAAATTTAAAAAAATTGAAAAAAAATGGAGGAGGAGGAGAAAAAGTCAAAGACGGAGCCACCTCTGACCTGTTCTTCACCCATGAGACACTGCAACCGGTCTTTAAGCTCCGGCCCATGTCGCCCACCGCTTTTGGAATTAATAAAAACGATAAGTGGGCCCTCCGGCGGGGTCGAAGCCTCGGCGCCGGCAGCATGCGCGGCGTCGAAAAGAACCTTGGCGGCGGGGGCATTTACATCTTTAGCAAAAATGGATTCTTTCATGGCTATCCGTAGATATTCCGGAATAGTGATCTTCTTCCGTAGCTCCTCTTTTGGGATCCGGATACCCGCCAGAGTGCACCCTTTCAAGGACTCGATGACCGACGACCTCCCCGACGACGTGGCGGCACCGGCGAGAGGTTGCCGGGATGTTGCTGACGATGAGTTGGTGGTATCTCGCGCCGAGGATGCTGCTGCTTTCATCCTCGGTGAGTCCATTTGGTAACGGGTGGAGCAGAATTACGGTTCCGCCCTTGCTTAATTTTGTGGGAATGGGAATACGGGGGGGATCAGATGCGGAGAAGTTTGATGTTAGATATTGGAATGAACAAGTTCGGATTCTACATATAGAAGTCAAGTATCTACTGTATTCACAGAGACGAATTCTACGTATCTCTGTATATCTGTACGTCTATTACTAGTATAAGTTAAGAGAAGAGAAGAGAAGAGAAGAGAAGAGAAGAGGAGAGGCAGAAGAGGGAGATGGATAGGGAAAGAAGAAGGCTGGGAAAAATGGTCGGACTTTTGAATTATGGTTTTGTTTGTTTTCAGTGGAGATTTGCTGGATTAGATTGACCTCGTGGACAAAGTTATCTACGGAAATGACACCGTTCTGTTTCCAATTAACAGTGTACTATAAAAACTTCTTTCAGTTCTAGTTTTTTAACTGATTTTGCTTCCAACCGTCATCCTTGCGGAGTGGACGCGGTGAATTCAGGTGTCATTTGCTCGTAATGTAGAGCACACACAGCTCGTTGGATTCTGTAATGTGGGTAAGCATGCAAAGATTCTATTTAAGGTTGGTGGCAAAAAGAAAATGATGAAGAGGAGATGTTTTTCGGGTATATATGGGATGGTACGACTGTGAATTAACGTGTTTTTATAAAATCACGTGCACTATTTCGGGTTTGGGATGTTTTCTTGTGTTATTTGGTATGCAAGTGTACAATGTTGTCAAATTAGTGACTGATTAATTCATTCGCGTACATCAATATCATATTTCACATACTTATGAGTGCATAATATATTATTTGATTTTGCATCAAATATTATTGTACTGATAAATACAATAACTAGACGATATTGAACAGAACGTAATAATTTGTATTTTCTTTCAAATCTTGTACCAAACCAGGATTCGCCCAATAAGGAAAAGAATCACAGTACATTTTAATAAATTAATATGTTATTTCATCTTTCCTATTATTATTTTTTTTTATAAAACAAAAGCCAATATTATTATTAATAAACTAATTGAAAATTGTCCAACACGATTTATTTGACAAAAAAACTGCAATAATAATAGAAAATACATAGAACATATCACAAATTCATTTGATTTGAAAAATTATTAAATTTAACAAGAAAGATTACATTATGAATCACATACTATCACAATCTGATTAATTACAGGAATTGCACCATAAATATCTGTGCATGTATATTCTCACGGATCTACAATTCAATTGGTTCAAGTTCAAAAATGATGTTAAAATCTGACGACGAGAAGATTTGAAAATTTTCAGATCTAACGTATAGAGACCATTGATTAAGTAGATACAATTGGTTAAGTAGTCATTTGGGTACAAGAAGATTCTTTCTTTGTAATAGATTCCAAATGATGTAGTATTTGTTAAAGTGCTGGCAATAGAATGAACTGTGTGGGCCACAAGCACTGATGGTTTGGTAATGACATCAATGGTGACTATTTGAGCGCATCTAAATTTTGATGCAATTTAAAATCGTTATCAAACAAGGACTTTCGTGAATGTACATATCCTTAGATTCCTTTCCCTAGCGGTAAATATTCAGGGACCTCATATTGTTCACCAAAAAACATAGAGTATTATTTGGAATATTTACTGTAGTATTTTTTATGATATGATGTATGCGAGATAAAAAATAATTGAAAATATAAAAGATGAATTAAAAAATATGTTTATGATGCAAGCGAAATATTATTTGGGATAATTTGGCAATCCAAACACACTCGGTACCATTAATTTGTTTAAAACAAGGAAGAAAAACACCATTTATTTTAGTACAAGGGAGGTCTCAAGAGAACTCCAAGTTTTGAACGGAGAAGGGGGAAAAATTAAATTTGAGAGTCAAATCAAGAAACTCATAATTTCCTGATTAATATCTCCATCAAGTGTAGAACTCGAAAAATTTCACCAAAAATATATAGGAGATATATTGGATAAAAATTAATGTATATGTAGAGGCAATTTACACACATACATAAATGGCATATGTTAAAAAAAATGATAACAGCAGTTGAATTTATGCCTCAAATAATAAAGATCATCATTTTTCATTGGTTATGTTTAGTAATGAGAAAATTTTTAGAGCAATGTAATAGACCATTTGGTTTCATTGGCCTATTGTATATGCCATTTATGCATCATGAACACGAGGACCACAGGTGGCGTTTATCAAGGATTGAGACGGCAGTCAAGTTGTACCACATTAATATCGAATAGTACTAATACATTTCTTAATCATCATTTGAATGGGTCTGAAAAATGGAGCTGTTGCACTTGCACAGTTGCACTTCTGGAAAAAAGAATAGTAGCAATAAGTTGGTTATTAAACGCCCCCAACTTAATGTCCAACATCTAGAAGCAGCGGCCTTTCACAAAAATCAACTCTGCAGGCTTCTCTTGTGGCTGTTGGATGACTTTGAATCTCTATTCCTATTTCATTAAACTTCTTATCGTATACGCGGAATTATGGATCAACTGAGGTGTGTGTATATCTAGAAAAGAAAAATTCGAAGCTGAATTGCCAAAGTCTATAAGTCAAGTCAATGGAACGGGACGGTCTTCCTCGCCAACAGTAAACATTCATTTATTAATTTCATGAAACTTCAAGTCCTCGTATTTGATCTTAAACGCAAAAAGAAAACAATTGATAGGAAAGTTCGCATACACCTTTCCTCGAGAAATCACGCGGGTCCGTTGAATGGAAGTGTAGTATTTTTTTTTTTTTTTTTTTTTTGTCAACTACGGTACATTTGTATAACCTACTCTATCCTAATTTAGGGGGAGGGGAGCCTAAAGAAGCTGTTGTAGGGGTTAGTAGGTATACAGACCCAACTGAATGGAAGTGTAGTAGTTCTGTATAATTTTCAATTCAAACGGACTCCGGGTATGACAGTTCGATTTAATCGGTCCAACTCATGCACTACAAAAGAAAATGGGGGAAAGAGGGGTATTCCTGTAGTTTGGCTGAGAATGTAAGGATTAATGCGGGAAAGGGACCAAGGCAAAGACGGTTACAAGCTCTGGTGTGGCGGGAGAAAGTGGATTTCCGGCTTTCCCACGAGTTGGCAGCCGGTACTGAGTTCTGAGTTCTGAGTTCTGACGCGACCCAGGTGTGGTGATGAAATGATTGTTTAGTCATTCAAAGAAAGTCGGCTTTCCAGTTGCGTGGTTTCAAATCCGGGAATCATTCCCTTCCCTTCTCTATCCCTGTCTGTACCTTTTCTTGCATTTTTCTTCTATTCTTTCTTCTTCTTCTTTTTTCTCTTTTTTTTGGGTAAGTATCTATTTGTTCTTTTCTTTCTCTGGGGAAATCGTTACTGTATCTAAGGTATTTTTTAATGTATTTTTCTTTCATGCTTTTCCTTTAGGATATCTAATCACTGATGAAATGGAGATGGATTGAGTCGGTGAAATATTCTGACCTTATTCATGGGTTTTGGAATGTTGCCATTTTAATTCAATTCTTCTAAAGAGGAATGAGGAAGCGTGACTCTTGCCAAATCTATTCAAATACTAAAATGTGATTTTGCTTTAATAAATACCTTCTGCATTCAACTTTCCTCGAAGCATTAAACAAACAAACAAACAAAATGTCAACAAAAACACCTGTAGTCACATAACATCAAAGTATGCATTATTCATATTAAATCGATAAGAAAAGCAGTACAAGAACGCAGAATTTTGTTTTTAATCCCTAAGGTTGTGTTTGGATTGCATTTTCCATGATTTTTCATGGAAAAATTACTATAGCGATTTGATGTATGTGAGGAAAAAAGATAATAGGGAAATGTGATCACGAAAAACGACATAAAATTTTCCGACGAAAAACTGCAATCCCAGAAAGTTTCCCAATTTTTTCTACAAATTGTGTTTATTAATCATCGTAAGTAAATTCCTTCCTCGTGGAATCTCTTATACCTAAACGAATTTGAAATCAATTTTTAGTTTAAATTTACTCATTTTATAATCCATCATCTAAGATCCTTTTTCGGATCCAAACGCAACCTCAATTGCGTGGTAATTTTAATACTTTAGTACCATTTTGTTTATTAAACCTTAATTAATTCACTTCCAAAAGTATAGGAATATTCCATTAACTAATCACAGTTCACATGCATGACTTATCTTGCGCAATGACTGAGGATATTTGCGAATTGGTGTACACTATTTTTAAAATTTTTTATTGCAGCAAATCTTTTGGTCCATGAAGTACTCATAAACACGTAATTGCAAATGAGATAAACTATCTTATCAAAACCAAATAAGTTACTGAACTCTTATTAGAAAAACCAAACCCATTAAGCATATATCGAACTACGAACCAAGAATTGTTTAAATACGGAGTCCGATGGGCAAGATCCATGAATCATCATGAAGTCTTAAAGGTGTGTTTGGATTGCAGATATTCAAAGAAAAATTGCTACTTTTTTTATAAACATATTTTTTAATTATTTTTTTGTTTCACGTATATCAAATCGCTATTGTAATTTTTTTTTATTTAAATTCAGACAAATGCAATTGAAACAAAGCCTAAGTTTAACAAGATCGAGAAGTCACTGTCTCTGATTTTGACAAAAAAAAGAAAGAAAGAAAAGAAGTCACCAGCTGATTGACTCATGTTACTAAATGCCTCTTTTTTATATATATATATTAACTACTGATGAGGACAATGAAGGGTTTTGTTTGGATTCACATAATTTCAGATAAAATAATTTACTTCACAAATTTTAATTATCTTTTTATCTTTTCAATCACCTTTTCATCTCACATACATCACATCATAAAAAGTACTACGGTAATTATCTCAAATAAATCATTCAAATAAACTCCTATTCAAACAAACCCGATATTCCATAACGACATTTGTCTTGATTCCTGAAGTGTCATCTCCTTTTACGGAATAAAAATGTAATGTATGGTTGCAGACCAATTCGGAAGCCAGTAGTTTTTTTAATATATAAAAATAATTTAGATTGCATAGGTTTTCCTCCGAGATTATTTGTTTATAAATCTTTTTTATCAGAAGAACAACATGCATGAATTCCAAAAATGGTTTTCATTTTAAAAAAAATTTAAGCACAAGTTTCTTACCAATTTTTTTTCTCTTTTTGTAAGGTAGTTAAAGGTCTTTCTCTCTTCCTTTTTCTTTTATGCCAAAAAATATGAAACGGACATTTCATGAATTCATTTATGAGCAAACCTAAGTAAGATGTTCTTAATGGCAACTGGCCCTCTTGT